ATATCTGCCTTGGTTGCTTGAGGGTTGGCCTCGTCGTCAGCCTTAGCAGCCTTCATCTCGTCGAGGGCAACCTTGATATCGTCGGCGATGACCTGAATGACTGTCACGTCTGCTTTGGTGGCACCTTCCTCCTCGAACTTCTTAGCAAGTGCCTCCAAAGCCTCAGACGTTGTACGGACAACGATCTCGACATCTTCCAGATTCTCCTTGGTGATAGCGGTCGCTGGGTCTGGTAGTACGAGCTCCTCAATCTTGGCCTTGGTGTTCGCAAGAAGAGTCTCGATGGCGTCGGTGTCTTCCTTCCTAGCGATGCCTTCAAGTGTAGGCGCTGGTGTTTCGCGATCTTGCATGAGAAGGACGGCGGCTTGCACATCTTTCAGAAGCTCTTCGATGTTGACTAGATCCTCCTTCATGGCAGATCCAGCCACGGCGGCTGCAGGCTCGGATTCCGGCAACGGGTTCGCCCTGGCGGCGTCCATCGCGTCGACCTTCTCCTGGATTTGAACAAGCATGTACTCCATGTTCGCCAAGTCGGCGGTTTGCGGAGATAGCTTTGGTGACGGTGGTAGCTCCGCCTGTGTCGCTTCCTCAACGATCTCACGTGACATTGATTCTCCCGCAGCGTCGTTCGCGAGAGCGATCTCGTTGCCAGCTGGAGGAAGAGGGACATACTCTTCAGCGTAGGATTCTTGCCTTACGCCCTTGAGCATGTCGATGTCGTCACGCAACGCATTCAGGCCGTCCTTGAGCGTGTCCAAGATCTCGTATGATATGCTCATGTCGATGGGCTTCTCAGCGATCTTCGAAACATCCGCCCTGAGACCATCTAGACCCTCGTTCATTGCATCCATGATTTCGCTGGTAGCGGAGTTGTTGCGGTCCGGGGTATCCAGCTTCTTGTCCAGATGCGATTGAAGGTCATCAAGACCCAGCTTGAGAGCTTCCAGGACTTCCTCAGTATCGGCCCGGGCGTGTTGTCGGGTCACGTTGTCAGACTGACGAAGAAGTTCTAGCTCTCCACGGAAAGCCTCCAGAAGCTCCTCATTGACACCCGCAGACTTGAGGTTGGCCTTGATATCGTCCAGCGCAGCCTTCACAACCATCAACATCTCGGCTTTATCATTGTCACCAGATGGGACAAGTGCGTTGCCAAGTGACTCCTTCAAGGCCTCCAGCTCGCCACGGATGAGCGCGATGTTGTCCTTTGACGTAGTCTCCTGAGAGGTGTGCAGACCGTCGATGAGCTCACGAACAGCGTCGACGATGTCGTCCTTTTCGCCTGCGCCGCCAGACTTCACTAGTGAGCCACCCAATGTTTCGCGCAGATGCTCGAACTCCTCTTTCAGAGTAGCCAGCATGTCGTCATTGGATGTAGTCGCAGTTGGCTTCTCGCCCATGAGAGTGTGGAGTCCTTCGAAGCCTGCCTGAAGCTTCTCCAGGATATCGTTCTTGTTGCTGGAGGTGTCACCAAGAAGGACCTCTTTGAGCTCATCGAACTCGTGCTTGATCGCTTCGTTGATGTCGTCGTTCGAGTCAGTATCATCCTCCGATCGAAGGGCAACCTGTGACTTCATCTCGTCAAAGCCGGCGTTAAGAGCAGCGAGAATCTCCTCGTTGTTGTTGGAAGAGGGAGCCAACTGAGTAGTGAGCTTTTCATGGAGATTCTCAAACTCAGACTTGAGGTATGAAACCATGTCGCCACGGCTCCAAGCCTGATCTCCACGTGGACCTTCTGCGACGTAGCCCTGAACATCCTCGCGTAGCTTGTCGAGTTCTGCTTTGATGTGGTCAATCATCTCGCCGTCCTGGGTAATCTCTCGAGGCTGATTGACGGAGCCCTGAAGGTCGGCACGAAGACTGTCAAGTCCTTCGCGAAGGGCCTGGAGAACTTGCTCGGTGTCACGCCCGTTGGCAGCGGTGACACCTTCGAATTCGGTGTGAACCTCATCCAGCATCGCCTGTAGACGTTGCATGACAGCCTCGTTGTGAGGTTGTGCAGCGTTCTGGACAGCCTCTGAGATGGATTCCTGAGGAAGGTCGAGTTCCATTGCTCCAGGTTGGTGCTCCGCGAGCGCCTGGCGAATGACTTCCTCGAGCACTTCCCGAGACAAAGCATCCGTCGACGGTTGCTGGGCTGCAAGGGCCGGCTTCAACTCTTCCAACGACTCGCGCACGGCCATCAGAACCTCCTCGCGGATCTCGTGTACTTCGTTGACGGGTGGAGGCAGCTGGATCTGCTGTAGTGACTCCTGCAGCATCGTCTCAATCTCCTCCTTGGTGACGGCACCGGACCCGTTGAAGTCTTGTAAACCTTCGCGTAGACATTGGAGAATCTCGTCACTGCCCAATCCGACCTGTTGGACTTCATGGCTCGGGTTCATCTCGACACCATCAAAGGCCTCCCGGACAGCGCTGATGATGGACTCCTTGTCCACTGCCGCAGCTTGAGGTGTTGGCTGATCGAGACCACGCTCTGCAAGCGCTTGCTTGACAACATCGTAGACCTCGTTGTTGTCGACGGTGGTGCGGGTGACGACGGATGACATGGATTGCCGCCTTCGCTCACGCATGACCTTGTCCATGTGGTCCTTGAGGTTGGCAAGACCCTCTTGGACAATGGCGTTGATGTCTTCGGTGGATGGGGGTGAGCCAGATCCGGCTTCGGCTTCCTTGGCTTGTTCTGCCTCCTCCACCTTGCGAGCAAGCTCCCGTCCCATTCCTAGAACCTCCCCACGGAGATCTTGGATGAGCGACTTGGTGGCCATCGTAACGCATCCGGACTCAGCGACACTGTCCTTGATCTTACGGAGGAACTTGAGCATCTCCTCGCTCACGAAATCGGCAGCCTTTGGACTGGAATAGGACTTGCTGTCGGCCGATATCGTTCGAGTCAAGGCGCCAGATCCGGGGGATGGCTGGAACGAGGCCGAGCCAGCAGCTGCGGGATTGAAGAGACCGCCGGTTGAGCCTTGCTTGACGAACTCAGCCAACTCAGTAACCTTCTTGGCAGTCTCTCCAGTAGCCTTGTCGACCAGCTTCTGTAGACTTGCGACCAATCGCTCTTGACCGTCCTTCGTCACCATTTCGCGTATGATCTTCTCCAGCATTGCGACACTAGCGGCACCCTCGACAGAGTATGGGTTGGGGCTACCTATACGCTCATCTGTCCAGGGGCTGGTGGACGCCATACGCGGGAATGTGAATTGCTTCGTCGGTGTCATGTGAGGATCTTGCAGGTTGAGACTGCTAGAGCGAGAGGTGTCTCCGTTCATGGCAGCTGCCGCTTGAGCCTGCTGCTTCTGCGACATGGTAGACAGAAGATCCTTCAGAGACTTGCGGATGTCCTCGTCGCGTGTGTTCGTGGCTTCCTTGAGGCTGATGAGATCCGTCGCATTGTCTTTGCTTCGCCGGCTCAACTGCGACATGTCTTTTTGCAGGCTGGAGACGATGTTGTTGATGCTCATGAGCTGGCTGGAGATGTTATCGAAAGACTGTGGCGGTGATGGGCCGTGTACCGGACCTGGTGCCGGCGCTGCCGCTGGTGTAGCCGCTGGTGAAGAGTGTGCTGACCGGTTCGTAATGTTCGATAATGGAGGATCGAGCATGTGTTGGGGGATGGTCATGCTTTGCAACGCCTGCATGGTGGCCGATGGTGGTGTGTTCTCTCCCAGGATCGCCCTCTGGCTAGGCCGTAAGGCGGGTGTGTCTTTGATCTCAAATCGTGATGCTGGTGTAGGTGTGAGTTGTCGCATAGGGCTCACATCGGCATCCTTTCCAAAGTAGTCCCTCTCGTAGTCCCTTGAGATGGGTCGGCCTCCCCTGCTCGATGGTCGCTCGCGTTCGGGTGACCGCTCCGGCGACCGGGTATCGAGGAAGGGCCGCTCAGGTGAGCGGTTGTCTAGGTAGCTTCGTAGGTCACGAACGCTGCCCGGCTGTAATGACTGCATGCGCTTGTGCTGTGTGCCTTTTATCAGAGAGCGCTCGGACGAGGGCAGCTTCTGTGGCATGGGGTTAGTAGTGTATGAGCTCGCAGGTAAACTCTCTCGCGCCTTCTCTTCCAGCGCCTTCGCCGCCTTCATAATGGCTGCGGATGTGTTGGGGCGGGTGGTGAGAGTGGGCGAGCCAGGGTTGAGAGGCAGTGGCGGAGGTGCACGATCCGGGTCAGCACTATCCCACCTGAAGCGCAGTGTTAGCATATCGCGAAAGGCTACATGGCGGTGAGGAAGACGAACATGGGAATCATCCTGTCTGACGAGAACGAATGTGAGTGTCTGACGAGTTCCCGGTCGCGGGAGACCTCTCTGTCTGAAGAAGGCATTGTGATGTGTCGTCTGGTGTGTATTCAACCAAATATTGTGGTAGTGAGGCGGAGAGTGGGAGCGAGTATGATATGGAGCGCGTGAGTTTCAATTGGGGTATACAGCGGAGGGATGGATCGTGAAAAGCTATCAGCGATCCAGCGCAGGGTATATAATAGTTCGTGATATCGTGGAGGGTGGGAGTGTGGGAAAGTGGACTGCAGGTGCAGGGCGGGCGGTGTGTTGATCAATAGCTTGGGGTTTGTTTACGTGCACTGGCCAATAGGCGATGACGATGGAGGCGCGACTGCCAACTCAGCCGTCGCTGGGGCAGCAGCGGCGGCAATGGATGTCCCCGGCTGCGATGGTGCGCCAATGGCATGCATAGAGCGGGATAGATTGTGCAAGCCAATATTAGGGCGAACGTATTCAGGAATTGTCGCGGTCCCTTGCTGTAGCGTGTTGTTGACCGAACTGCGGTTGCCATGTGCCCTGGACTGCTGTGGCGCTGGAGTGTGGCGTCGCCCCCAATCGGAATTACGTGCCGCCTAACCACCGACCGCCGCATCTCCAGGTGAGCTTGTGAGCTCAACATCACCAAACAGTTCATCTCCGCCACCCCATCGCCCGCTCCACCTCACGACTCGTGCACTTTAATCACCTTAAACCACCGCGTATACCCTCACACCCTGCCCACCCACCATGGCTGTCCCGGAAACAAGCTCGCGGATAGCGGAGGCGCAGAAGCTGGCCAAGTCGGATCCCTCCAAGGCCGAGCAGATCTTTAAAGACGTCCTATCGCAAGACCCCGGCTCGAATGAGACGGCCATCAAGAACTATGAGAGCGCTCTGATCGGGCTCGGTGAGCTCTACCGCGACCAGAAGCGGGTGGACGCGTTGGCGGAGCTCGTGAAGCAGGCGCGGTCGATAATGTCATCCTTTGCGAAGGCAAAGACATCCAAGCTGGGTAAGGAAGCGAATTTGGATACCAGTTCAATCGCACATAGCTAACTCCCACAGTCCGACAACTACTCGACCTGTTCACCGCCATCCCCAACACCGCCGATATCCAGATCGATGTCACCAAGTCGTGCATAGAGTGGGCCGTCTCAGAGCGGAGAGGTTTCCTTCGCCAGAACCTAGAAACCCGACTCGTCTCCCTGTACATGCAGAAGCAATCCTACTACGAAGCCCTCACACTCATCAACAGCCTGCTGAAGGAGCTGAAGCGCTTGGACGACAAGCTGGTCTTGGTGGAAGTTCAGCTGCTCGAATCAAGGGTCTACCACGCGTTGGGCAACATACCAAAGGGTCGCGCTGCCCTCACTTCCGCACGAACATCGGCTGCTTCGGTCTACACTCCGCCTCTGCTGCAGGCTGGTCTCGACATGCAGAGTGGCATGCTGCACGCAGAGGACGGCGACTTCAACACCTCCTTCTCCTACTTCATCGAAGCCATGGAGGGGTACCACTCACAGGATGAAGAGCAGAAGGCTACTTCGGCACTCCAGTACATGTTGCTCTGCAAGATTATGCTCAACCTCGGAGACGACGTCACCTCGCTCATGACCTCCAAGCACGCTGTCAAGTACGCAGGCAAGCGGTTAGAAGCCATGAAGGCCGTAGCGCGCGCACACACCAACCGCAGTCTCGAAGAGTACGAAACCGCCCTGACCGATTTCCGCCAGCAGCTAGGCAGCGACCGATTCATTACCTCCCACCTCCGACGCCTGTACGACAACATGTTGGAGCAGAACCTGATCAAGGTCATCGAGCCGTTCAGCAGGGTAGAGATTGACCACGTCGCCAAGATGGTCGGTCTCGACACAATACAGGTTGAGCGCAAGCTTTCGCAGATGATCCTCGACAAGGTCATCATCGGAGTTCTGGACCAGGGTGCCGGATGTCTGATCGTCTACGATGAGTCGGAGCGAGACCAGGGCTACGACGCGGCACTCAGTACTCTAGAGAAGCTGAGCAACGTGGTCGATGTACTTTACACCAACCAAGCTTCTCTGCTAGAGTAAGAGGTGAAAGGGGAAACTTTGACAGCTCCCGAAGCTATGTACAATAAAAGCATAGATGTTAGGTATGCTACACGTCCAATGCGACTAGCTAATAACGATGACACATGACATGGCAAATCTTCCAGGGCATTCGTGCGCGCTGAAGTGGTGTTCACCTCGGTTTGCCCAGGCACAACAGCAGAACATTACACAGCACTCATATTTTGCCCGGCTATACATCGGCAAACTACCATGTCACCCTTGCTTCTTTTTCTCGAATAAATTGTCGTGTACTATCCGGCATAGCAAGGGCAGCCTTACCGAGCCGACACTATACACATCCCCGTCTCATTCGCTCATCCTTGGCGATCTACACCCACCTCCCATAGCAGCTCCACACAAGAACCACATAGCATCCCCAGATAAATTGGCCTGCACGACAACGAACGGGGGTTTGATTTGGAATCACGGAGATAGGGGGTGCAGGACGAAAATATGCAGAAATGAATGGTAGCAATGGGAATTCGATACGTGTATAAAGTACCATGTCTATCGCATGTATCTCGAACACCCAAGCAGGTCAATCTCATCGCCTCCTCTCCTTACTTCACTCCTATACTCAGCTTCATCATGTACTTCACCGCCGCCGCCGCAACCACCCTCCTCTCCCTCCTTCCCACGGCCCTCTCCCACGGCCTCATCACCTCCCCACCCTCGCGTCCCACAGGCCCAGAACTAACCTCCCACTGCGGCCCCGCCATAACCCGCACCATAAACGGCGACAACACCTCGCACGTCGAGGGCCTCCCCGAGCTCCTCCTTCCCCCTTACACCGCCTCCAGCTGCAACCTCTGGCTCTGCAAAGGCCTCCAATTCGCCGACAACCCGTCCAACAACACGCAGGTATGGAGCGCGGGCCAGGTCGTGCCCATGAAAGTGTGGATCCGCATTCCGCACGAGGGCTCGGCCAATGTGAGTATTGTGGATACGAAGAAGAATGAGGTTGTGGGCGAGATGTTGAAGGTGTGGGAGGAGGGGTATGCGCCGGGGAAGAGTGAGGCGGATGTACCGGCCGGGCAGAAAGAGTTTAGTGTTAAGGTGCCGGAGGGGTTGGAGGAGAGGTGTGGGACGGCTGGGGATTGTGTAAGTTTTCATGGGTGAGGTGGTCTGGGCGAGATGCTAACGCGGTGTAGGTGCTGCAGTGGTGGTGGTATGGAGTAGCGGCTAAGCAGACGTACGAGTCTTGTGTGGACTTCAGGATCGCGAAGACGAGTGCAAAGAGGGACTCTTTCGGTCGTGCATTCAGAGGATGAGAATTTCCGCCAGTGGACAGCGGTTTGTGGTCTAGGTTGCGTGAAGGGTTGAAAGTTTAGATTTAGAACGTTATGGTTTGTTCAACTACATAGTCAACCTATCCATGATTGATTACATGCCATCCCTTTAATCCTGAGCCTCTCTCTTTCTCGCTTGCATATTCACAACCGCAATACCCAACAACGTGCCGCAGAAGAAACAAACCATGATCGTCGCTGCGACCATAGTACAACAGTAACGCTCACTTTCTCGCCTGCGTCTTGCTTCTGTCAGCACTTGGTTGTCGCACACCTCGCAATGCGTGTGTGGCTCAGTATTGGGTCGAAGGAAGTTCGTGATGGTCTGAGCCAATGTCTCAGGGTTTGATGAAGATGAAGATGCGTTACCGGAAGAGGAAGTGTGGTTATGGGGTTCAGCGTGGAGTTCTATGTCGTGGTCGTCGGTTTGGGAAACGGTCGTGTACTGTGAATCGATGGGTTAGCAAGATTGGAGGCTTGCGAGACAACGTAGTAGGATGGCTTACAGCTGATGCTGATCCAGAGGGCGCGTATCGGTTCACGGGATGGTCGTGCAATACTTCTTCGTAGGCGGGTGCTGCTTCTTGTGGAACAGTAGGAATACCCATTTTCTTTCACGATTCAATAATAGTAGCTCTCTTGTGGGAAGTAGATATGCTCTGAGAGAGTAAGTAGTAAGTAGTTCTAAGATCAAACATGCGACAGCATCGTTATTATGTCCATCAGCCAGCTGCTGCCGCTTTGCCGGCCATCCACAATCTGGCAACTGGATGTTGGATGCCTGATGAGATGATAGGATGTTACGAGGGGCTGTGGTGGCTGTGCTGTCAACCGACCAATGAGATCGGTGCATGTCAATGGATTTGCGGGGCTGTGTCAGCTTGCAAGCCACCGTTCGGTGTTGATCGAAGATAAGCAGCGTAACATTGTTGCTTGAATTTGATTATGGCCATTGACAGCGCCGCAACACCCATATACTGATCTGCGCCTTTTGCTTGGCCACAGATTTGACCCTTTTCGGAAATGTCCACGCAGATCACGAGACGATTGAAACTGGGGTTTGATAGATGTTGAAACAATTTGATGAGTCTCCTTACTGCGCAACCTTGATAACGATCTTACCAGAAAAGTTGCCTGACAATTGAAGATCAAAGGCCTTCTTCGCGTCCTCAAACCCAAACGTCTTGTCAAGCATGACATCAAACTTGACCTTCTTGTCCTCAATGAACGCATTCATATCCTCGAAATCCTTCTTCGATCCTACAGCGATGCCTTTGAGCTTGGCGCCCTTACCCATCAGGGCCATCAGCTGAGCTGGCTTCCAATCCGCTTCCCAGCCGGCGAGGAAGCCGACTAGCGAGACAGTGCCGCCGCGAGCGCATAGGTAAGAGATGTCATCGATGAGGGAACCGACGCCAGTATTGTTGACTACGAAATCGACGCCGCGGTCATTTGTAAGTTCCTTGATCTTGGCAGCTTGGTCGTCGGTCTTGTAATTTAGACCGCGGACTTTGTCGCTGATCCGATCTTGGATCGCCTTGATCTTGTCGTTCGAGGATGAGGTTATGATTGGAGTGATGCCACCGGCGAGACAAAGCAGTAAGGAGAACATGGAAACACCGCCGGTGCCTGGAAGGTATGAGTAAGAGATTGGGCTTTCAGATATCTTGCCTTACCTTGTAGTAGAGCACTAGAGTGCTCTTGTACCGTCTCCAACGAATCCAGGGCATTCCAAGCAGTGACACCTGCACACGGCAACATTGCGCCCTTTTCTTGTATTAGCCCAACGCATTTGCAGATGTTTTCTGAACAACTCACCTCCTCCCACGACAAATGCTTCGGCAAGTGCACCAAATGCTTCTCCTGGTAAACGGCATACTCCCTCAGTACGCCCGCACCATTCGCACCGATAGCCACCGAGATGCTGTCATCCGTGGGATGAAAGTCGCCTTGGTTGCAAATCGGAGCAACAATATCTCCCACTTTGAAGTTTTTGACTGCAGAGCCTAAACCGACGACCTCGGCGGAGGCATCAGAGCATGGAATGCCTTGTTCCGTGACAGCAGGCGGGTATTCGGCTACCAACATAGCGACATCACGGTAGTTGAGCGATACAGCGTGGATCTTGATGACCACATCGTTGGGGCCGAGGTCTTTTTCTTGCGGCAGATTTTCTTGGCTTTGCTCAAGGGTGAGAGGGTTTTGACGAGAGGCCTTCTCTTGACCGGCGCTGCGACGGTAGGCCGTGTAGGTAGATGGATAGGTCATGACGGTCGTTGGATTGGGGAAAATTTGCTTTGGACGATTGCGCGAATAGGCCTGATGAATTGAATGTCGGTGTCGCACGACTTCGCGATCGATAAATAAGAAAAGTCGCGCCTCTTCCTACAAGCAGTGCATAGTTGCTGATCAATCATGGTGGGCTACTCGATTCGTCCGATGGAGTTCAGATGTTCGTCATTTCTGCAGGGTGTCGCTAGGTGCGATCCAAACTGGAACGTCGCGACGTGGAAGGAACGCTACCATTAAGCGCGAAGGCGCTCGACCATCGAGACTGCGAACCCAGCCTCCTAAATCTGCAAACATTTAATCGGGCCTTTCGATTCCAAGACAGAACGCGACATCCACGACCTGCAACATGACCATGTTTTGGCAATGCAGGTCTAGTTTTAGTTGCAGGCGGGGCCAGCGGAGTGGAACTTCACTCCGCTTCCGACCTTTTTAGTCAGCCTCAACAACCCTCCACTCACGAAGACCAATCCATGCGCCCTATGTTTGACATGGCATACCATCAAAGATCTTTCTTTGTAACAGAATTAACGGCTGCGTAGATCTGCTACCCAGCGCGTCTCTTTGTCGAAGCTGCGTCGTTCCTCGCCCTCCAGGCCACCTAGCCCGAATTCTCGCAAGTCTCCGAGTATCTCGACAGCCTTACTGAAACTCTCATTCGACGCATAGCCCTCATCAGTCAAGACACCCTGTAGCTCTTTCCAGAGCTCCTGGCTCTTGTTGAAAGTTCCCGCCTCTTCGTCGTGTTGCCGTATCTCCTCTGCTGAGAAATGGTACGGACATGGTTCGTTAGTACCAAAGTGACGCCACTCACTGCGACAATGGTCAGCCAGGGAGCTTGATGGCAAACATATCAACATACCTCTCAACGCGGATCAAACATTCTTCAAAGGGGAAGAGACAGTTGTCCCAGGTAGAGCCAACAAAAGCTTCTAATTGCTTGAGGGTCTGGCCATGGGGATGATGCATAACCTTGTACATCAGAGGGTTCTTCTCCACCGTAGACTCTTCGTACGTGTGGATTAAGATAGACTGAGACACTTGGTATTTGAGCTTATCTTTTGTAGCATCGTCGAGTGCTTTGAAGTTTTTAGGGAGCTTCATCAACATGTCAATCCCATAGTCTAGAAGCAATGGGGGGTTGGCACCGATGAACACCGGGGTAGCCCAGGCCCCCTGCCAGTCAATGATGCATGAGATTCGGTCTTGGTCGTCGATATAGACGTTACGAGCATGGGAGTCTGGGTGCCAAAGTCTGGGAGAGACGAGCTCTGAGTCCTTGGGAGTGATATACGGAATTGCAGTTAGAAATTTCTCCAACAGTGCTGTGTGAGCCTCTGGAGACTTTTGCTGTGGATTCGTGTACTGCCATGGAGTTTTACTCGGCTCCTGTGGGTTCGCATGGTTATTGATCCATTCGATCTCACGGCGAGCGACAGACTTTAGGTACTCTGCGGAAGATGTCCCTACAATTATTGTAAGTCTAGATCCGAGTTAAACAGGCATCCAGAAAATTACAAGGACCATGAAATTGCATTTCACTGCGTTGCTTCTCCCAGAACTCCCTTCGAGTAATTGGCCCAATGCAATAAGTTGATTCGATGTGATCGATGACATCTTGTGGACCACTTGTAACGATAGCCGGCTCGCATCCTGCAATACCACTATCTTTAAAATACAATGATCCCAATCTGACAGTGTGTGTAAGTTGCGCTGGCCGCAAATTTTTTGTTAGAGCAAGTTGAATCTTACTTTTCAAAGGAGACCGAGAGTAGTTTCCTTTCAACGGCTACAAACTCACGAATAATGTCACACTTCCTCCGCAGTGGGAGATCCTGCCAAACTTCGTGCAGTTGGGAGCCACTCGCTTCTTCCATGATGATATATTCTGCTTGGACAGGATTTTGGTCGGTGGCACTCCAGGCGAGAACTCGTGGGACGGGTAAGTTCAAAACAGTCCGGGCAAACTCCATAGTTGCCACTTCTGATGCCGTGGTATGGCCCCGTGGGCCAGCATTAGGGTGTGGGACTTTTGCGATGATCTTTTGGCCGTCTTCCATCTGAAGGCGATAAGCCTTGTTGTAGTTGCCTTCGCCGATCTTCTTGAAAGATATACACTTGCTTGCACCGACGGCCTGGCAAGCCGCTTGCTGAAGACTGGACATGTCAAAGCGTCGGTATCGGGCTTTCAGTTGCTCGCGCTCGTTCCATAGCCATCGTCCGCTCGTGTAGCAGAACAAGGGATTAGTGTCAATTTGACGATGTGAGGGCATCGCGCATCTACCCTCCAAAGTGTGTAGTAAACGAAGGTAGTGCCGCTTTGCGATGTTTGACCAGCCTCGACCAAGCGCCATTGCTAGAAACTTGTAAGGAGGCTGTGATGTAAATAATGATACTAAGTTGATGATGGAACTATGAGACGCGTCGCCAAGCCTGCAGCCTTTGTGGGCTTCTCAAGTTAGATACTACTGGCGCTGAGCCTGCTTCTTCCGCGAGCGTTATTCGTCGCGATGGACGAGCGTGGAGACGATGACATTGCTGTATACGGATCAAGCGGCGTATGTACTAGGCGCGTAAGTATCAGGCACGCATGCAGATAGAGCTTGCATCAGCGCTTGGTTGGCTGATTCCATATTGACGGGTGTGGTGGGAGGGTGAGCTTGGGCAAGAAGCCAGCCACTGCCGCGACGCGTGTTCGGAGAAGCTTCGGGACGCATGCGCCACAGCTTGAGCTTTTTCGGCGGAAGAGCAGGGGTGCATCTTCGCTGTTGCTTCTAACGCCACAAACAGAATTCCAGAAAACACAGTCGACATTGTTATCATTTGAGTTTTACTAAAGTAATCCAGAGTTTAGCTCGATGCAACCTAAGTATCAGCAGACATCACTTTCGCAGAGAGAAGTCTAAAGATATGCGACGATCATGATGTTCTCATTTCCAACGATCTAAACAAGTACTTTCGGTACTTGTATTACTTACTTCAGATTACGCCTCCGCCGTTGTAACTTTTAGAACTAAATGTTAGTATGAGCGATAGAGATGCAAAACCTCAACCGCAACACCGCGCTAGTATTACAACCATCAAAGGAACCAAATCGTCAACTCATCAGATCATCTCATCGCAAACACCATACTCAGCCACGACAGGCTTACGAACCGCCCCACCGGCCACCGCCCCCATCCCCAACACACAACTCTCCTCACCCAGTATCTCCGACAACTCAACATCGCCCTCTGCCAAGCCCTGAACCGCCCGAACCAAGTCCTTCTCGACAAAGTTCTGGAAACGGTCGCGATTAGTGTCTACACCGGGACGGTGGAAGAAGAACTTGACCGCGGTACCAAAGGCAAACCACTGATCGACCATGAACAGCATAGCTTCTTCTAGTTCACGATCCTCGTAGATGTCCTGGAGACATGGGCGGAGGAGCGAGCGGATACAGAGATGAATTTCTTGGAGTGGGTTGGCGCCTTGGTTTTGGAAGTTGAGGAGGATGTCGTGGAGGGGTGAGGGAGGGAGGTCTTCGAGAGAGAGGTAGATACGAACTACCTTGATGTTGCCGTCTAGAATGGTGGCGGGGTCTTGGATCTTCTTGGTCGTCTGCTTTCCTGTCGCGTCGGTGGCGACAGAGGCGAAGACGAGGCCGGTGGGTGGGGATACGGTGGGCAGCTTTTGGACTGCTGGGGCGGCGGTAGAACTGGGCAGTTTTGCGCCTAGCGATAGAGAACTTGAACCAAACATGGGTGACGTCGGGGATTTGTTTGAGGAGGCAGGCGCAGGAGGACCCATACCACCCTGCAGCGCAGGGCCGAAGCCCCAGGTCGGGGAAGTGTTTGTGTTAGTAGTAGTAGTAGTAGTAGTAGAAGCGCCAAAGCCGAAGCGCGGCGGAGTAAGGAAAGAAGGCATTCTGTTAGTTAGTAGAGTCGATGATCCTGTAGTTGAGGGTGTTGCAAGTGTTGCGATTGCTGTCGTTGAAACTGTTTGTCGCTGGGCGTGGGGGACCACGCACTTTTATAGTTGCAGGGCGGGGACGCGCACAGACAGTGTGCGTTTGAGCAAAGTGGTGAAAATGCGAAAATGAGTGAGTCAAGAGAGCGAGATCGGCGTTGTGGTAGAAGGCCTATGGTAGCGATGATCGCGACCAAAGTGTCACCGTAAGTGAGCGAATCATCAGTGTTAACTTGGGAAGATGGATTAGGCTGCAAACCCAACTGAGGGTCAGCGGTGGTATGAGTAATGATAGTGGAAGACATCTGTACTTCATTTGTGTAGAAAGAGAGTATGTACAGAAAGAATGGTAGTGAAATGAGTGTAAGTTCCATCGCCAATCCGAGGACATTCCAAGCACCCATGTGCTCTGCCAAAGTCCCAAATCCCACGTTCCGCCTATCCCATCAAATCCAATCAACAAGCGGCGATATCAGCTGGTGTATAAATGCAAGCCGAGCTAGGTCCTTCGCTGATCTGCTTAGGCTCAGCACCCGTATCGTTACCCTCGAACTCCTCGCAAATAGCCTTTGTGCCCGTGACGCAAGAGTTGGTAATGGTAGCGGTATCGCCGTAGTTGGAGTTGATACCAACGAAAGTCGCTGTTCCGCCTGTAGCCTTGACTTTGTCGATCTTGACGTGGCGCTCGCCCATGGTCTTGCAGTTTCCACATGATCGGTAGAGCTTGCCAAAGGTTGAGACTGTGAAGCCTGAGATTGAAATGGTACCCGCGCCGTTGTGTTGGATAACTTTGTCGGATGCGCCCATGGCTCCGCCTCCGGTGACTGTGCCGTCGCCGTCCTTCTTGAAGGTGAGAGCGTCTTCACATACATCTTCCCACCAGACATTCTCGATGGTGCAGGCTCCTTGGCAGTGTACTCCCTCGATCTGGTCGGCTCCGATGATGACGTTGCGGAGAGTGCCGCCGTTTGCGATGGAGAACACGGCGTCGCTGTCTCCTCCTTCTGATTGACCGGTGCAAGACACTCCACGGCCGAAACGCTTCATGCCACCATCGAATTCGCCAGTTACCATCATTGTCTTGGAGAGAGTAGACTCGCCAGCTGCTGCAGGCATGGTACCGCTTGCTGCACTACCACCTGAGCTAGGCATAGTGGAGTTGCCTGATCCAGAGCCCGATCCAGTTTGAGTTCCCGAACCGGAGGAAGATCCACCACCTGAAGAAGAGCCACTGCCTGAGGATGAACCACCACCTGAAGACGAGCCACTTCCCGAGGATGAGTCGCTGCCCGAAGATGAGTCACTTCCTGAAGACGAGTCGCTGCCTGAGGAAGAGTCGCTACCCGAAGATGAGTCAGTTTCTGAGGATGATCCGCTGCCCTTGCCGCCACCGCTGCTGGAGTCGGAACCTGATCCCGAACTTGAACCGCCATCTCCACCAGAGCTTGAACCAGAGTCGCCAGTCGCATCTTCAGTGCTGTCGCTAGTGTCTTCGGAAGACTTGTCCTTGTCGCTGGAAGAATCCTCGCTGCTATCAGAAGAGCCAGAAGACCCCTCCGACTTGTCTTTCTTGTCATCCTTGGCGTCGGAAGCACCGTCCTTGGAGTCAGATGAATCACCTGCAGAGTCCTTGGAATCCGAGGTGTCTTTAGATTCGTCATCGCTCGCTCTCCAAGCCAGACCGAAGGGTTGACGCTTCGTGACAACAGGTTCGGACTCAACAGACCTCCGCTCATAGTCGTTTCCAGGGGTGAACATAGGAGCACCCGTCATCTGAGGGTCGGATGGCTGACCGCCAAAGCCTGGGAAGCCGCCCGTGGGAGCAGCACCACCTCCAGGAAAGTAACCGGGGTCACCACCATTGCGTTGGCCACCTCGTCCTGAGCCACCACCCATTCCCATTCCAGAGCCGATGGAATCAGAGCCAGGACCGCTGGACTCGGTGCCGTTGCGTTGACCGCCGCCGTGTTTGCCGCGATGGCCACCACGATGGCCATGAGCCTTTGTAGGAGCGGGGCCTCGAGCCGAAAGTTCCGTCGGTTTAGCAGGGGCAGGAGCAGGTGCCGCGGAGACAGAAACGATCAGGGCCGCGGCCGCGATGGTAGTCAGAGAGAAACGCATGTTTTGTTGGTTTTCCGGGTGGTTTGAAGTGAAAGTAGGGTAACGAAGGTATTGCACAGCAAAGATGACACAGTCAAGAAAAGAAGGGTGACCGGCACTGAGCTGGAGAAGAGAATGTGGAAAAGGGAAGGTGTTGGAAGCAAGGAAGAGATCGTTGGTCCTGATGAGGATGAGGATCTTGCAATGGGCGGGCAGCGAACATCTTTATAGCCATTGTGTTAGGAATACGTACTGTTGGTTTACTGAACATGCGTGTCGGTGGTATACGACAACGTCCCACACCACCCGCACCCCAAACCTACAAGCGCATCATGCCCATCGTCGGTTATACCACGGATACTATGCACTCAATGCGATGACTGAGTAGGCCCGAACACACGTGCAGTCGTGAATCGAGGAAATGTGGAAACAGGCCTGGTATCCTGGAAAAAGACTGTGTTTGGTTTGCGCGTCCCGTTGACGAAACCGATCGTCCGACAGCTGACAATCTATGAGAGGGATGTGTCAGGTTTCATGTTGAGGATGTCGGTCTTGGCAGCAGTGACAGCCATGTAGGGTGAAGCTACTAGTGAAGATGCAGAAACGTCCCGCTTGTCAGTTGGTAGTCTAGAAGTTCCGGAAGTTTGGAGTTTCGTGTCGCACGTTTCACTTACTCGACGGAACGAACGCAGGTTGGATGGACTGACCACCAAGAATGTAGTATTCGCTATCATGCAGCGCAATACAAATTAATGAAAAAAGTGACATTAGCGAGGTCTGCATCGCCTACATTCGCGCTGCTTCCTTAGGGTCTGGCGTTGTCCCTATAACGATCTCGCTTTCCTAACCCAATCTTTGCGAATATCTTCCAATCTAAGGAACCGAGTGCGCGGTATATGCGAGGTGGCTCGGGTTCTCCAGTACTATCTACCACGGTGGCCAAGTTGTCTTTCATGTACACTCGAAGTTCGTCTTTGAGACGCGAGGGTGTAAGCCGTGAGTGGTATATCGTGCTCAGGCCTTGAGCCTGCATGCGTGGGATATGTCCATCTAGTCGGTTAGCACTGTGTATATGTGGATTGCATGTTTCGATCTGCAAGATGTGCACTGGTCTTGAGGACGGGCGGTTTGAAACTCCAAAGCGTTCCCACAAGTCGATCAGCTGGAATGGCTCGACAGCATAACCAGTAGCGAATCGTAGCTTCAGGGCCAGCTCAACATCCATAGCGTGTTCACCGGCGTTACCGGTTCCGATCATGGTTCTCGGGGTAGCGTCACCTCCGAGGACTTTCAGAAGGCGGTTCATCCATTCGTTCACGACACGCGAGGAGCGTCCAAACTCTTCGAACTCGAGCTCGCCGTTCCTGACTTTTGGCTTTGACTTCCATTTGATACGCACCATGGCATGCTGATTTTGTCCGGTATCTCTGTTGCGATACAATGCCCAATGTAACCCAGCGGCGTATACTTTGCAGTACTCGAGGACGGATCCGGGAATCCGGTTGTCAGCATCAATGAAGCCGACGAACTTACGTCCAACAAGCTTCGTGATGATCACACCGAGTATCATAGCCTCTCCTTTTCCGTTGTTCATGCGTGGAACATGTGTTTTTCCCTCGGGCGTACTTGTTCCTGGGTGTTGCAACAGCTCTGGCATTCCGGCTTCCTTGAAGGCGCGGGCGAAGGTTGACTCACCTTGATGATGTACCATAACAGATCGACTTGCAACCTTTCCGAATTTGAGCAGCGACTCGCACTCCGCCTTATAGTTTGTCTGGTTGCTGTTCGAGATGAAGATGACAGAACAATGATGTGGAATACCACGAAGAAGGCCTTCGAGAACTGTGATATCTTCATCCATGCAGGGAACTACGATTGCAAGATTGCGCTCGATGCTTTCGATTGAATTTGGAGTGATGACAATGTTCTCCTGATCGACAGAGGTGTTAGCCGTGCCATCACCCGATGTGTCTTGACCGCCTGCGTCCAGTTCCGAGACAGAAGACATCTCGCGTAGCTGCACGTTCCCGACCCGGGTGATTTCTGGGCGGATGCTCAATCTCATGATGAAGATAAGCTGATTATCGAAGTGGACTCAGTCTTGCAGCGGTTCTGATAATGGAGTAAGGGTGTATGAGGAATCAAAACGTGTATACTCACATAGGTCTTATAAAGAGATTCTTGCGGTCTGCTCGATGCTGCTCTTGACTGCATTGTTAGGCGCAATGATAGAACGTTTGACTCTATGTGATCGACGAACTATTCATAGCTATCAGTACAATCTTTCGTGCGGAGCTAATTGCAGTGTGAATCCGAGGAAGGCTAGGATTTGATAGCCGATGTCGGCGTATGTCAATGTTGCTAGACACGCTGTAGCAGAGGTGGGTCCAGGATAACGTTGCATTGTGTCGGGCTCTGCAGCGATTCGACCATTGAGTATATCGGGTACTGAGGGTGGCGGTGCTTGTTTGGCACTGACGCGTTGTTGACATTGTCAAGTGCCGCAATTGACAATCACAGTACTGGTGACCCTTCCTCATGAAAATGTCCCTTTACCGGGAAAATGGAGTGGATGAATTGGATCGGTTACGTTGCGGTGATGATGCATTGCATGTAGCCAGTGTATGAAACGATGGATGTCTTTCTCTCAAGCGAGTCTTTCCACGTCAAACACGACCGGCCGTGGTTGCTCTCGGAGGATACTTTGAACTGCGATCAATACCCCGAAGAGTTCTCGCAGTCCCTTTGAGTGCTCCTGTCTCTATAAATGTGTATTCACGCGCCGTCGCGCCCTCCCACAATGGATGCGGCATGGTGGTGTCGTTTCGTATGACGCGCTGTCGGTACCGTCGCGGCGCGCGCGTTGCTCAATGAGGCAGACAGATGACATCTCAACACTAGAGGCTCATCCGGTCTTCTGCGAGGCTGGGGGCGACTGCATTGGGCGAGGGCTAGTGTTGGCGCGAGTGGTGTTGTTAGTGGGAGGCAGCTTCACCGGCGAAGTTTGTCGAGTGGAAGCTCGGCTATCCGCTGGAGCTCTGGCCTCGCCCGAACGCCTCCATGACGTCTGCAGCTGGTGACACCAGAAGCGCTATGCGGACCCGGAGACTGAGAGCTTTCCCCGCGTTTGCGATGCTTTTGTACTATTTCTTGGATCCTTCTTAAGTCGTCATTTCCCCGGATTACCCTGCGATGGCTTCCAACGATAATCCCGACAAGATGAGCTACATCTACAACTCGCAGCTCGTGAGCGCCCCTGACATGTGAAGATGGACACTGGCTGACATTGATCGTTAGGATGCCTTCACCCTTTACCATATCTCGCACGAAAAGGAAGAACACAGCTCGGTCGGCCCTGTACTCCCCGCCCTCGGCCATGCTTCGTCTGGCGCTCTAGGAACCGTTGTGTCGAAACTCTTAACATACCCTCTCGATGTCGTTATCACGCGCCTTCAGGTTCAGCGGCAACTACACCACGGCGACGCGCACCCGCACTACAATGGCTTCCTCGACGCCGTCGAGAAGATATACGAGAGGGAGGGCGGACCAAAGGCCTTCTACAGCGGCATAGTGCCCGAGGTTGTGAAGGGTGTTGCCGACAGCTTCCTCTTCTTCCTAGCTTACTCATATGCGCGACAGAAGAGGCTCGAAGCGCGAGGTACTGGACACAGCTTGCCGGCGCTCGAAGAGATCGGCGTCGGCGTTGTCGCAGGCGCCTTCTCCAAGTTCTTCACCACGCCTATCCAGCAGATTGTCACGCGGAAGCAGACGGCGGCGATGATGCGACAAGAGTCGTCGACTACCATACCTCCTCTGTCTAGTACCAGGGACATAGCACACGAGATCCTGCGCGAGAAGGGCATACAAGGCTTCTGGTCTGGCTACTCTGCCAGCTTGATCCTGACCCTGAACCCTTCCATCACTATGCTTCTGCACAAGGCTCTCCTACGATTGGTCGTACCCAGGGCAAATCGAGACGACCCCGGCGCGCGCATGACGTTCCTTCTCGCCGCCATAAGTAAGGTCCTTGCCTCTACCGCTACCTACCCGTTCTCACTCGCAAAGACGCGCGCCCAAGTGTCCTCACAGAAGCCCTCTTCCGGCATTGGTGAGACTTCCGACAAAGAGAAGTCAGACGAACCGATCGAGTCGAGAGCACTACAAGCTAGGCAGCGAACTGTGTTCAGTACCATCTTGCGCATCGCCCAGACCGAAGGAATCTGGGGCTTATACCAGGGTCTCGGGGCGGAAGTGCTCAAGGGCTTTTTCTCTCACGGCATCACGATGTTGATGAAGGACCGCATCCATGCTGTCATCATCAGCCTATACTACACTGTGCAGGGGGCGTTGAAGAAATACCCCAGCCCAAGTGAAGTCGCAAAGTCGGCGTCGGACAGCGTTCAGAGCGCTTATGAGCAAGGCAAGGAGCAGGCTAGCGATGCGTATGCGAAGGGCGCCGAAGTCGTCGGCAGTGCAACAGAATCGGCAAAGCATGCCGTTTCCCAGGGCTCACAGCAGGCGCAAGACCTTGTTGAGAAGGGCAGAGATGCTGTTAGCGAGGCCGCAAGCAGCGCCTACGACCAGGGCAAGAACGTGCTAGACAAAGGACAGGATGCGGCCACCAATGCCACTCAGCAAACTGGTGAAGCGCTTGAGCATGGCAAGAGGGCCGCAAGCGAGGCATCGCAGCAGGCCAAAGACGCTGTTCTGGACGCCGACATCAAGGACATCAATGGCCCTGACAAGGGCATCAAAGAGTGAGCCATGCAGCAGGTGATTTTTTCAACGCCTTCAGATTGTACATATACCCGATTGATTTTGTATCTCTTTGTTTAAAGGCATGTCTGTGGATGGAGTATGTATTCTTTGGTATGGTTCGGCGTCAAAAGCGTGCCTGACTTTCGTAATGCATAATGAGCAAATAATTGCCGGGTGAACTGTCCATCTACCTTGGGCGATCTGAAACGTCAGGGTGTCAGTATCCACTGCCACGCTTCGAGTAGCTGGTATGTCCATGTACCTAGGTACCGGACGCAAGCGTTCCAATGAGATTGAGCCTGTGTCCAAAGTAACTGCAATGGAAATCGTGTTCACGCCAGAACAGTACCAGCGCGTCGACTCGAAGCAGGATTTTCCAGCCTTGCGGGCTTTGTTGTCTCTGCTGCGCTGGCTATTGTGGGGATGGCTGGTCACGGTACGTCGCATGTGTCATGCCGGTGGCTGGTTGCAGCGGTTGCCCTGGAGGCCAATGCGCTAACCATCTGGCTCCGCCCGCAGCGCCTCCATCATCAACAACCACGCCTGGCGACACATTCGACTGCATGCCGCAGTTGAGCGGCGACTAACTACTAACCTGCACAGGAACAGGGCAACTATTGTTTGCGCGACATTGCGAGCGCGAAGAACCGACTCGAAGTTTCCGATAGTCGGCGGCGCATGACTGGCGACACTCACAGCACGGCCATTCGACAAAAGCGGAATCGTCAACATCCCGGATACCAAGAGGGCAGCCGCAACCCACGCGCACACCACCAGCTGCGGCTTTCTATGTCGTAGACGCCGGTGACGACATAGACCGCGACTGAGCCGCTGTGTGTTGACGTCTCGTCACTGCACCCCGCCCAGCTCATTCCCCTGATCACCGCACGCTGTTGGCAGTCGCAGCCCAACCCCCACCGCCATCATGACGACCACCGGAGCGCAGTCTTCGCCGAGCCGGGGAGGATGGAGCAGCATCGAGGAGGAGCTGGCTTACTACAAGTCTCAGTACGAGACGCTGGAGATGGAGCTGCAGGAGTTTCAGGCATCAAGCAAGGAACTCGAGGCCGAGCTCGAGCGCGACGTCGAGGAGAGCGAGAAGCGGGAGCGCAAGCTGCAGGAAAAGGCAGAGAAGCTGGGGTTTGAGGTTGAGGAATGGAAAGTGCGTGGTCTCCGACACAGTTGCGGCGCATGTATGCCCAACAGACAGTCACTAACAAGACACCACAGACAAAGTATAAGCAGAGCAAGGCCGAGGCCAACAATGCGCAGAACACCCTCCAGAAAGAGATCACCACGATGCGCGAAAGCCAGCGCGCCCTCCAGATGCGACTCCGCGACATCGAAGTACAAAGCGACGATTTCGAGCGCCAGGCACGCCACCAGACATCATCACTCGAGGATGTGGAATCCAAGTACAACGTGGCTATCGAGCGCAGCGTCATGCTGGAAGAAGAGATCAAGATCGGAGAGCAGGAGCGAGAAGCACTGCGGATAGAAACACAGCGCCTTAGGGACGAGCTGTCAGACCTGCGGGTAGAGGCGGAAATCACGCAGGAGAAGTTGCGCATCGCAGAGGAGACGATTGAGAACCACCACGTGCGTAAGGTATCCAACCATCTCTCGGGCGATGCCCTGAGGCCACGCTCGCCGGTCTCCGAGGCATCGACCACAGCAACCACCGTCTCCTCGCCCACAGCTGCTTCGACCCCACCACACTCGAAAGCAGATGGCCTACACACGGACGCGACTCCTCCTTCGCCACCGCTGTCCGACGCACCGATCACGACTAGATACGTACCCTCGACGCCCATGCCCAAGCGAAAGAACTCGTATGCGCCGCTGGACCCAGGTGCAACCCCTCGCGCCGGCTTGTACCAGCGAGTCCCAAGGCATTCACGAGGGCCCAGCATGTCAGCATCGCGGCCAAGTACAAGTGCCAGTGGTCGGGCGACGCCCTCTATACGAACGACTGCACCCGCATCGCGAGCGCCTAGACCGAGCTTTGGAAGTGCTGCACCGCCGCCAAGCTTGCCTAGGTCAGGCTCGCTCGTTCAGGTTCGAGGGCTGATTGGTAAGATGCAGAAGCTCGAAGAACGGGTACACGCAGCGCGATCCAAGCTCCCTGCGCCAACTACGACCCCACCGCGAGCCAGCCCCCGAAACGGCAGTGCCATGGGACACCACGTGCCAAGCACTGTTACATTGAGGAGCGGCAGAAAGCGCAGCTCCCACGCATCAGCGGGCTCGTCAGTCCCTGGCGCCTACGAGTCGGGTGTAAGCCGGCTGTCATTCGGCATGTCGACCTCGTCGCGCGAGCCCACCAGCAGCAGACCTGCCAGCCGAGCATCCATGTCGTCGCAGTCAGCAATACAGCGGCCGGCAAGCAGAAGCAGCACCCGAACGCCACTCGGACATTATTCGTCTTCGTCCATCAGCGGAACGGAGCCCCGGATGCCAAGGCCAAGGAGCTCTATGAGCGGTCATGGCCATTCGCATTCGCTCTCAATGTCGCGGCGGGATACAGACGCCAACAGCGACGGAAGCGGCGTCTCAACACCAATGGGCAGGCGACTTACACTGGAGAAGACAGGCATACCTACACCAAGCGGGATCCCAAGGCGTCAGAGTGCAGGACGCAGGGCAAGCAACAACATGGACAACGGAGACATGGCGCCTCCTGCTCGGCCACGAAAGATGTCGACGCAGGCGGAAGAAGAATCATACTAGGAAGGAACGGCGCATTGGTAGGAAGTTAAAGGACCCGCAGAACCACGTGTGTGTACCTCTGGATCGATCAATCTCTGGTGCATGATTTTCACGGCACTATACCTCATGCATTCTGGAGTCGGGTTTGCGATGCATATGTGCTAGAGTTTGGGAAATGGGACACGGACGGGGTGTTTGGTGCAGGTTGGTCAGGCATGGTTGCACATAGGGAGGATGAAGAAGAAACTCGAGAGGTGCCCAGCTCTTTTGAGGGCAGTTACATATTACTTTTACATTCAGATTTCTTTTGTTCGAAACCAATATACCCCGAATTCCATTCACCGCTAGGCTCGCCGTTGCTTCTGTGCACATAAGCTCTTCTGTTTGTTTCACATCTTAATCTCGAGATACTAATACTATTACTACAGAACTCACGTGCTCTCCTTACTTCAAACGGAGTAGACTGCTCGTTCTGGACGAAAATCTGGGGTAAAGTTGCATGCATGCGCAGCCGCATTGGCGTTGGTGGTCGCGTAGTCGAAAATCGTACGATTCTGATGTCAAACGGCGGCCTGTCCCGCCGCGTTGACCCAAGCAGGAACCAGCACCAGCTACTCGCGCAAGACCCTGGATCTTCGGAACGCGCCTTCGGAATCTAGCTTGCTTTATCTGGATAGGCATCCTGGCTTGCTTTATCTCGCAGATGTCGCTACCAAGCTTGCAGTCGTTACTGTAAAGATGCGGGCGGCAGTACTACGGGGCTTTGGCCGGCTGCCCTGCGGCGGTACCTGAGCACAACGTTTGCGACCTATGCTTACGCGGGACATGTTTTCTTTATTACTTCTACCCGGCTTCTCACGCCGTCGTAGACTACTAGACTGCTGTATGGAAGCCGGTACTTTTTTGTTTCAGCGTCATCTACGGTGTGCTAAATTGAGAGTGTGCTTGACGTTTGTTCCGAGAGCGGCCGCTTTGGGCGCTGATTGGGTGGCTGCGATCGGAGTCCGGTGGGAGGTGTCGGGGGAGGAGACCCGAGCATTACTCTTGATGTTACTCTGGCGTGGTTTGGCCATTGTGAGACGGGTGTTTGGTTATTTTGGGAGATGGGTGTATGGTGGCGTGAGGGCTTAGTGGGGTGGGGAGGCGGCGGTTGTGAAGAGGTGAGATGGGAGACGTTGAGACGATATCCAGGTGGGCAGCTACGTGTTGGGAGAGGGGTAAAGTTTGAAGTGGCGGTGATGGCTATCAACTCAACCCTGAACAGTCAGCGGATCAACGGCAGACGGGAGGCTTGACCAGCTGTTGGTGAGAGATAGCCAGGGCTCAACACATGGGCATGCAGGTACTCGTGCTCGGGTTGGGTCTCGCAACAAGCAACTAATGCGGAAATGCTCCCAACAGACCTAGAACAGATGCCGCCATGGCGAGCAAACTCTCAACATGCTGTACCCATCGATCGTGAAAAAATGCGGCAATCTTGACTTGATCCAGATAGCTGGCTAGTCAGTCAGCGTAGCTAAGTAGTGAATTGGCCCGTAGACCAGCCGTCGTGTGTACATAATCGGGTTCCGAAGGGCTTCCGAGTCGTCTACCGTGGCTTCGAGAGGGATGGACAGGGGCGTTATGGGGGACGTGGTGCAGGGCCTTGCCGTCTTCGGCATCGCTGGCGATGCGATAGCTCAACAGTGCTTCGGGAAGTGCATTGGGGTGTTCCGCTATGGCTCTAAAAATTTAATACATACGTGAGCTGCTCCCGGACGCTTGCGACCATTTCCCCTCGTCTTGCTCTGCTGTATTACCTCCCTCCCACATACTGTATACCTCATTGTGCTGTACTTCTCCTCGTACGCACTACTAGTCCCTCTTTCGCTCAACTCCACGCGTTCGTTGTTGGTGCTTCCTCCCGGCGCCGCATAGAATTCCTGGCATTGAAGATTGCTTTTGGGTCTTCCACACCGACACTACGACTGTCCTCTACTAATAGTCTGCTCGGGCCCTCCCACCGACAGAGTCGTTAGAGACGCACACGTCGACTGCAGAGCATCGTCGTTTTCGGGTCAATCAGATCTACATTCGACACTAGAGGCCGAGCTCCAGCTTGCCCTTACCAGTGGAAAATTGACCGGACCCTCACCGAACCGCAACCCAACTTCGCCTTCGCTCCTTCCTCCCCACATCCCAATTCCTCGGTGCATGGGATTGCCTTCACACATCATGGCCGGAGCTGCACAGAACGGAGTCAACGGGGATGCTAATGGCGCCCCGAGCTCCTACGCCGCCAAGTTCGATCTTGC